ACGATCGTAGCTATTAATAGTGTTGTGCTGCCTTAGTCGACAAATTAAGTTCTGTGATATTGATTGACGCTTCTATCATGCTAGGATGTTTTCCTCCAGCTATTTGTTGCACTGAGTGTGTAATACAAGAAAAAAAAACCCCCCAACATAGTCCACTTTAGAGAGTCATATTGTGTCTTGTGTTTTATGAATGTCTTTGATGCTATTTTCTTCTATTTCTTCTTGAATGGTTTTCTTTTTTGGTTATTAGTTCTGGGTCTTATTTTTCCTCGTCCAGTGCGGCTGGTTGGTAGGCTTTATTGAAAGGTTATTCTTCTTTCCTTTCCTTTGTTTCTGCCGTTTATCTTACTTTTCTCCACCACTAAATGACCACCACTGTTATGAAATGCTTTTCTTTACTCATGCAAAAGTATAAACAGACATCTTCCAGCAATATTTTCAAAACGCACATCTGTGGCGTCAGGTTTCAGGAGGGAGGATGTGGGCGTTGTTTCTTATGTGTGTGTGTGTGTGTGTGTGTGTGTGTGTGCGTGGTGCTTGCGCGCGAGTGCGTGCATGTGTATGCTTTGTGTTTTCTGTGTGTGCATAAATATTGGTTTCTCGTTCTTTGTGCATTTGTGCCCCCACAGATCACCCTTGTTTCAACACTGTTTCTGAACACAGTCTCTACTTTTTAAAGCCACGTGTGAAACGTTACGGTTGAACACATTCAAGTACGACATAACGTTTCGTATACCCGTATCATGCTAATGACATTGTAGAGTTGGAAGATGGGAGAAGTGCAAGCCACGCCTGTTCACACAGCTAGGGGCAAAGCCTTTAGGATTCAGCTAGTCAAGTAGAATCCTAATGAGGAATATTAATCTATAGGCTCCAGCTAGACAAGTAGCATCTACACGAGGATCGTTCATTTGTAAGCTGCGGTTTGGTAGCGATCCGGTATTTTAGTTTCAAGTGAAATGTTACATTTTGTGTTGTCGGTAAGTTTTCTTGGTTTTCCTCAAACTATAAGTAGTTGGCACTGTGACTATAGTACGATCGTAGCTGTTAATAGTGTTGTGCTGCCTTAGTCGACAAATTAAGTTCTGTGATATTGATTGACGCTTCTATCGTGCTAGGATGTTTTCCTCAAACTATTTCTTGCACTGAGTGTGTAATACAAAAAACAACAACAACCCCTACATAGTCCACTTCAGTGAGTCATGTTGTGTCTTGTGTTTCAAGAATTTCTTTGCTGCTAATTTTCTTCTATTTCTTCTTCAGTGTTTTTTTCGTGGTTATTATTTCTTGGTCTTATTTTTCCTCGTGCAGTGCGGCTGGTTGGTAGGCTTTATTGAAAGGTTATTCTTCTTTCCTTTCCTTTGTTTGTTTCTGCCGTTTATCTTACTTTTCTCCACCACTAAATGACCACCACTGTTATGAAATGCTTCTATTTACTCATGCAAAAGTATAAACAGACATCTCCAGCGGAGGGTGACCACTATAGTTTCTTCTCAGAGTAGAAATTATTATTATTATCATCATCATCATCATCATCATCATCATCATCATCATCATCATCATCATCATCATCATCATCATCATCATCATCATCATCATCATCATCATCATTATCATCATTTTTATTATTATTATTATTATTATTATTATTATTATTATTATTATTATTATTATTATTATTATTACTATTACTATTATTATTATTATTATTATTATTATTATTATTATTATTATTATTATTATTATTATTATTTCTGGACGTTTTCTTCATTATATGCTTTGTAATATTCTATTAAATATCTATTAGATGATCCTAATGTTGCAGTTGGTTCGGCAACTCAACTTGTAGGTTCTTTACCTCCCCTTTGCTGTTTCGGTCTGTCTGTATTATTTTTCCCAGCATTAAGTGATCGTTAGTGTCTCGATGTGCTTCTATTTACTTAAACAAACAAACGAACGAACAAACAAACAAACAAACGATCAAACAAAAACTCTCATAATACGATACTACTCTCCTTCTTTTCAGGATCACACTCGTTTTCACACGTGCAAAGGACAGATGCAAACCTACTAGAGGAAGCGCCAAACGACGGCACGGCTGTCGACAAAATTGTACGGTCCAAGGATACCAACCATCATCCTGACTATCGCTTACAAGATAACAGCAACGTTCAAAATGCCGAAGCCCACCGACAAAGAGAGGCAGGTCAAGCATCGCAAACAGGTGCAGAAGCAGATCCGAAAGAACCAAAGAGAGTCCAACCATCGGGGGACTTCCAGTCTTTGCTGTTTCTCATGTGGACGAAAAACGCCACCTCCTCGCAACCAACCACAAATGTTGCCGACAGTGAGCTTTTCTCAAAAGTTCAGCCTCCTGACGAAGGCTTTCGGGAGGAGGTAGAAGAAAAGATGCCATATGTGAGAAAATTAGCTAAAAAATATACGCATGGAAATAGCTTACTTTCTGGTAGCAATGTTGGAAATAATGGACTTTTAGAAGATGGAATAGAAACTGATAGCACATTATTATATTTGACTGAAGACGTTGAGAAAAATGTTGCACTTTCTGATGGCAGATTTCGGGATAAACAGAAGAAAGAAGTTAATAGGGGAAAGGGAAAAACAAAAATAACAAATCAACAGAGGCGTCGACGCTCAGCAACGAGCAAATTCACCGGTCTCGTCGTCGGCTCGTCGAAAAACGGCAAACTGGACGAGTCGGTAAAGACATTGTTGAGCACCTTGTACCAAAAGGTGTGGGAGTTACAATCCGACGTGACCCAACAATTCCAAGCAGCTGGGGGGAAAGATGGAGGGGTAAAATATGCCTCCATTCTGGGCCTATTCCCTTCTTACGTAAAAGACAACTTCCACGGCTGTGAGGAGGAGACGAGTTTCCGTGCTGATAAGACGTACTCGGTGCCGGACGTGAATGCCTTAGGGACTCTGATGGTGCTGCACTGTTTGGCTGAGGCGGCTGTCTACGGGAAGGCGGGCGTCCCGGACGTGGGCAAGATGAGCCGGGCCGTGGAGGCGTTGGAGGAATTTCACACCAGGAATTTGGAGAAGGGCAAGTGAGTAATGGTTAAATCATTTGATAATTCGTCCTGGGTGGTTGGCGCGTAAGCCAACTGTGCTGTGTTTTGCTCCTTCTTGCCTATCAAACTTGAATATGTTGTCCTTATCTCTCCTACGCAGTGGAGGCTTTGGAGAAATTTTAAACCAGGAATTTGGATAAGGAAAAGTGAGTTACCGTTAAATATTCGTCCTGGGTGGTTGATGGATAGGCCTACAGTACTCTGGGGTGTTTTGCTCTTTTTCCCCCCGATCAAACTTAAATATGTTGTCTTATCTCTCCTACGCGATGAAGGCGTTGGAGGAATTTCAACCCAGGAATTTGGATAAGGGAGAGTGAGTAATCGTTAAAGTGTATTAAAAAATAAAAAATAATTCGTCTTTGATGGTTGACTGATGCTCTAGTGTGGTTTCCCCCTTCTTTTCTATCAAACATCTGTCGTCCTTATCTCTCCTCCATGCGGGTAGTTGGAGGGGGTAACTTGCAAATCCTACTTTTTTTTACTTTCCCTCTGTTGCTTCTGTCTATCTGTCTTTCTTTTTCCTAGCACTAAATATCCATTGTAGTGTCGATATTCTTCCCGTCACTCCAACAAACAAACACATTTCTCTTTCTTTATTTTTTAAAGTTGGTTTCTCTTGCGTAGCAACTCTGATCTTCGGCACTTATATGACCTTATTCAGTTGCAAGAGCCGTAGACCTCTTACTAAAACTAAAGTAGAATCTAAATATTTGTCTCACCCTGAAAAATGTGTTTGTTTTGTGGTGGTAGTATTGTTTTTGTCGTGGCTATAGTTGTCTGATTTTCAACATCGTTGTCGTTGTCGTTGTCTTTTTTGTTGTTGTTGTTTCTGTTGTTGTTGTTGCTGTTGTTGTTGTTGTTGTTGTTGTTGTTGTTGTTGTTGTTGTTGTTGTTGTTGTAGATGTTATTGCTGCTGAAGGATACGGGGCAAATCTGATAAGCCCTACGATTTTGCCGTCTGTCTCTTATTTCGTTTCTTCCGTCTTCCTTTGACTCCCTGCAGCGTAACCACTATCTGTATTATCGCTTCTGTTGTCATTGTTGTTCAGCAGGTAGTTGAAGGGCGCCTGTGGTAGGTCCTACTTCTTTCCTTTCCTTCTATTGTTTCTGTCTGTCTGTCTGTCTGTCTGTCTGTCTGTCTGTCTGTCTGTCTGTCTGTCTGTCTGTCTGTCTGTCTGTCTGTCTGTCTAATGTTTCCCAAGAACTAAACGTCAATTTTTTTTGTGTCCACGTGTTTCTCTTTACTCAAGCAAACAAACAAAACAAAAATAGTGGTTGTTCATGTTGTTTTTGTTTTTCTTGTTGTTTTGATTTTGTCCCCATATTTGTTGATATGGTGGATATTTGAAGTGGTTTGTTTGTGCTCTAGTATCGATAAGCATCAGTTTAATATACTATTGTATGTCCTTGCGATCCTTACTTTGCGAGTTTGCATTAATCATGCTAAATCGCCTTAGAACTCAGTGATACCAAACAGTTATGCTTTCATCCATTATTTTTGTGTTCCCTATAATATTATCTTCGTCGTTATGGTATCAGTTATCTTCGAGTACTTTTAACTCCTTGTCGCAGTTGATTTTAATTTATACATACATACCGTTCTTCGTTCTTATAATTACATTTCTCAGCATTTGGTGTCAGTGCTGTTGACACTGTCTACGAAATACTAGAGGTGTACATTGTAAATGAACGTTTGCAGAGGTGTAGACTGAGGTTAAAAAATATCTACTAAAACACGGTGCACATTTTAATGAACTGGTTCGGAAAGATTTCGTTGGAAGGTTCTTGTCGGGTTGGATATACAGACAGATAAGTGGCACTGAACAAACTTGATCTTAGATCTGTTTAATGGATAACTAGCTGAGGCACATGCATAGACTTGAATTATGATACTTTAGAATGCACTGCCATGGACACTATTTTATGAACTCTATTGAAAAGGAAACAAAACCCCAAACCAAACCAACTTTGCGAGGCGTGCTCACCATGAGAAATAAAATGTAGGGCAAAACGCAGGCCTACCTAGAGTCAAGTGCTTACGGCATAGTCTACATATTTCTCCCTTTAACCTTTTGACTTCAGGTGGAGTCAATTAAATATGCCGTCGATAGTGAGCCGGAATTATGTTAAAATGCTCGGTCTTAGATCCAATGCAAGCCAATGGGTCTATGCTGACGTTGAGTAAGTACAGAGAGATTACACAGGTCATGACTGGGCCTGCATTCTTGACCTGACATTCGTACACGTTTTGACTTTGTCTTTTGAAGAGGTCGTCTTTACTTGATTTACTCTTAAACGAAGGGATAGATTAAACATTTTCAGTTTGGTATTCATTTTGAATTTTGCCTGGATGCTAGCCTAAGCCCACTCTTACCAATTTGAGGACCACCAAGGGATCTTTAACGCGCGCAATTTGCACCCGGGACTTCCGATTTTTTTTCGACCTAATTCTAGAAGTTTAGGTGTTGAATTATTCCTACGTTAAGGTCAGCGGTGTGGCTGAAAGGCAGCGGTAAGAAGAAGCAAAGGAGTAGAAGTAAAAAAGGCTGCAGAAAGATTCAGAAGCCAAGAGGAGAGGGTAAACTGGTGACGAAGGGGAGCAGCCGATAGAAAGGCTGCAGAAAGAATCAGGAGCCCAGAGGCAGGGGCAAAGGAGGCGAGGGGGTGGTGGCAGCAACTGGTGACGAAAGCAGCCGATAGAACATGGCTAGAGAGCAGAACGTTAGGCAAAAAGAGAAAATTTTAGAGCAGAAAATTTTCCGTTGTTGTCAGGTTTGGAAGTCATGACGTATTGAATGAGAGGCGAACACCGTAACCTCTATACCACGAGAATCACCTTTTCTCCGTCAACCTTCATCTAGCTCTAGGTTGAGTCAAACGATCCAGATTCCCTCCATAGTGAACCGGAATTACGTTAGAGTGCATGGTCTAAGATATCGTAACACAAGCCAAGGGACCCATGCTGACGTTGAGTAATCGATGAACAATTACACAGGTCATGACTAGTGCTGCATTCTTGACCTGGCATTCATTCAAGTTTTGACTTTGTCTTTTGAAGAGGTTGTCTGTTGATTTACTCTTAACCAAAGGTCGTATCCCACTGACAGAGAAAGATAATAACGTTTAATGTAGGACGACCCATAAATGTATATTATCTTCTCCTCCTTTGCATTCCCCTGCTAGATATCAGGGATAGTCGACTGCTGGTTCTTCAACGTGCGATGCAACTGAATTTTACGTAGTATGCGACACATTTTTATTACTTCGTTGGGCCCTTTGCCTTCAGGTCATCAACTTTTTGATTTTGAAGATACTGCATTATTTGTTATATTAAAATCAACTTAATTCCATTTCGTTGTGAAGTGCACCTTTTGTCTTTAAAGAACCACAAGACGGACAAGGAGGAAAGAGTTGCGAGCTCTCACCTATGACCCGATTGGTTTTTTGCCCTGTATTTATGCCTTCTTAGTGCGCATAATCGCAGCGAAGTTTAAAAAAAAAATAGACAGCAAAGAGCAGCAGTCAGGACAGAGGCCGGTCAAGGATAGCATATTGTGTTCCGACGCCATGTAATCAGGCGCTCGTAAATTTTTGGGTATATTGGTGTCATTTAAAAGCTTGTTCATTTTTCCTGCTTTCAAGGAAAAAAAAACCTTCTCTCTTGAATTGAAGTCGGGATATTTGCGATTGAAGGCGGGGAGGAGCGCCTAGTTTCAAGAGTAAATTAAGCGAGAAAATGGCCGAAAAAGGTTGATGACTTCCATAGCCTGATAGAGTCTTTGGAAACGAAAAAGTATACTTTTATTGTACCTGTAATCAACGCTTTTCAGAAGAATCCACACAGGAATGTATGGACATAAAAGATGTTGAGACAAAAACCTTAATCTTGATAATTATTGCCAAACTGCGGCGAAAAAATGCCGGTTCCTCGACTTCGTTATTATTTACTGGCACCTGATTTTTCCATGATGCCTCACGTAATATCATTATGATTCAAGCCCACGGGACGATCGGATAAGTATGTGCTGAAATCAGAGGAATGTAGATGATTCAGAATCAGGAGGAACTGCGTAAATTAATGTTCCGTGGCTTTTCGTAAGATGATTCACTGGGAGGTGATTGTGGTGGTGGTGTACGATTTTCACTCTAAGAATCTCTCTGTTCCTGACGTGGGCGATATGAGTCAGCTGTGGCTTGTTGGTCAGACTGTTTGCCATCGCTCACAGAATTCACGGTTCGATTCCTTTAAAAAAATGTTGGTTGTTTTTACGCCCCTTATCGACACAATAAATTAGATCATTTAAGGGGGCAGGATTCGGACCCGTGTCTGTCAGGACCAACCCTGGATGAGAGGGATTCAACATCTCAACAGAAGGACCGAGATACTCGATAAAAAATTCTCCCCTCTCAGGAATCGAAGTCGGGTTTCCTGCATGCGATAGGGAAACCCCTAACCACTGCACCACAAACCAAACGTCGGTTTCGATTCCCTCGTAGGAAGTTGTTTGTTGAATCGACTATCTCATTCTGTCATGTGGGTAATTGTTGTATCCCTCTCTTAAAGTTTTTTTTCTTAGTTGAAAGGTCGCCTTAAAAGTGTTTTACCGCACTTCCTACACAATTTTTTCAATGTCACAAAGATACTTCTAGCCAATTGAAAAATAGTTGGCCCACACACGTTATGTCAAAATATTAAGAGCAGGATCGGATAATAAACGCCACAATAGGATGGTTAAAATCTCCCAAATCTTTAAACATCTCTCCTGCAAAACTAACAAAATGTGGCTTACACTAGTACGTGCCAAAGGTTAGATATATTATCTCAAGAGAGCAGCAGGTGAAAAAAAAGAAGGAGGATGGATAAGGACGATAGACGTTTGATAGGAAAAAAAAGACCAAAGAGCACCCTGTGAACCATCCACTTATTATAATACTCTGCCTGAGTTGACACTGGCAGGCAATATCAAAGAAGCCCTAATCCTAATTGATCTAAATTATTTATATGTTGTTTAGGTTAAAACACAATTTACAATTATAATTATTAGGCCTACAATATGAGTCATAAAGTAGGCAAAACTTAGAATACGGGCAACGAAAATTAGGTTAAATGGGAGCTTACTGTACAAGGATTACTATCTCTTTAGCTGTAAAGACCAGTATTAGTATCAAAACGGTATTATGAGAGAGTTATAACTTAAGAGACTCATGGCTTTTGATGGCCGAAAAGGAAATATTACAGCATCGTTAACTCAACTGAGCTGAAAACGAGTTAAAGATAAATGAATCTCGAAATACGAGCAACGAAAATAATATTGAATAGAAGGTTAAAGGACATGGTATACAGTCACTTTAGCTGTAAAGACCAGTGTTAGTTCTGAAAAGGTGGTATGGGTAGGGTCATGTCTAATGAGACTCATGGTCTTTTGTATGCCAAAATATATAGCGCTTTCAACTCTACTGGGCTGTTAACAATACGACATTAATAAATAGAACACTTTGAATTTTTTTCTACAAAGTTCTCAAACTTGAAGCTTTCTTAATAAAATCCTAACGTTTCAAATTGTTCCATATTTTTGTACGTTTATAAGTTTATCTATTGGTATAGCTCCAGTTGGATTGCTGAAAGTTATCGTTTGTAAGGTTTCCATCCTCTGCTAGTCTGCAATTGATGGTTGGAGGGCGCCACTGGTAGGTTTTACTTCCTTATTTTTCCTCTGTTGTTTCTGTCTGTCTGCCTGTCTTATTTTTTCCTTTTCCCAGCACTAAATGACCATTATTGTGTCGATGTGCTACTCTTTTCTCAAACTAACGAAACAAACAAATCGTTTTTCTCTCTCTCTCTCTCTCTCTCTCTCTCTCTCTCTCTCTCTCTCTCTCTCTCTCTCTCTTTATCTCTCTCCGTAAGTAAAATACGACGGCATTTACTTTGTTGTTGTTGTTTGTTTGTATGTTTGCTTGTTTGTTGTTGTTGTTGAGTTCCCGTTTTAATCCTTTTTGGTGTGGCGGTTGATGGGTGCTCTGGTGTAGATTTTTTCTTCCTTTTCTGTAAAACCCCCCCAAAAAACAACAACAACAAAAAACAAGACAAACTCACGTCCATATCTCGGCTCCATCTTGTTGTGTATGTTACTTTATAGTAACACATCTAATTTTCGTCGCTTATGTGAGCTATTTGTGTTGCAAGAGAAAGCAAACCTACTATTACTAAAACTGAAACTAAAACCACAACAATTTGTGGATGGTCGGATGGCGCCACTGGTATGCTCCATTTCTTTTTTTCCTTCTGTTGTGTCTGTCTATCTGTCGTGTTTCGTCCCTGCACTATTATTACCATTACCTGTTGTTTCTGTCTGTCTTTCTTTTTCGCAGCACTAAATTACCATTTTTGTGTCAATGTGCTTCTCTTTTCTAAAACAGCACCTGGACATGGATGGCTGGTGCCTCTATAAATAAATCATTGATGGTCTGGTCTGTGCTGCTATTTACTCAAACAAACAAACAAGCAAGCAAACAAACAAACTCAAATTCCACAGAATTGAGTAAACGTTTCTCGAATTTTACTCACTGAAATAGGCAGGTGATGTGGTGATTTTGTTCACGTACGTGACCAAAACGTTTTTGTCTCGTCTTTTTTTTTAACCTAGCCGCATGTTGTTTTTGCTGTTGTTGTTTTTGCTGTTGTTATTTTTGCTGTTTTGCTGTTGTTGTTTTTGCTGTTGTTGTTTTTGTAGTTGTTGTTGTTGTCTTGTGTGTGTGTATGTGTGTGTGTGTGTTTGTGTGTGTGTGTGTGTGTGTGTGTGTGTGTGTGTGTGTGTGCGCGTGTGTGTGTGTGTGGGAGCATATCCCTTCGAATTGTTTGGAGCCCCGAAGAATGTGCTCTTCACCAGGGCCACCGCCTCTCTTTGGTATCGGATGAGGCAGTCCAACCTCCCTGAATTCTCCCCAAAGAGATGCCACCGCCGGACCCCCATGACGGGGCATCACGGGGCATCTCTGCAGCCAATACTCCAAATCTTGGGACTCCTCGCTGCATAATGGACATATGGGTTCTGATGTTTTGTCTATAATATTTTTGTAGGCCCGCAGCCCAGAGAATTGACCAATCCTGATTTTTGCCAGTACTGACTGGCCGCCGCAGGACTTAATTTGTGCCTCCCATTCTAAGTATATTGCCCCGTATATTTCCTTCGTCCGCATGTGGGATATAAGAAGGTCTTTTGTAATCAGTTTTATCTAAGCGCACGAACTTCCATACGCAATTTGGCGGCCTGGGCCTGGCAGCGCTGTTGCCTGTTTGGCATTGCAGTCAGCGAGGTGTTTGTCGAGGATCTCGCAGTGACCTGGGATCCACTTGCTGTATTATTTATGCGTAGTTGCATTTAGTAGAGAGATGGTAATGTTCCTACGAGTGCCATGCCTAGCGATTGGCGAACAGCGAAGATAGCGACCGAGTTGGATGCATCACATTGTTTGTCGTTTCGGTCAATAGCCATTTCCAAGGCCTTCCTCTCTTCCCCGAAAGGGCACTTTAATAGAACGCCTTTCCCTCTGCTGTTTATGTCGTGTTTCTTTCTTGTATTATTATTAAGACCGTTGCTGTGTCGATGTGCTCCTCTTTACTCAAATTTAAACTCCGCGAGTGGTTGGAGGGCGCTTTTGGCAGGTCCAATTTGCTTACCTTCCCTCTGTCTTTTCTGTCTGTCTGTTAGTCTTTCTTTTTCGCAGCACGAAATTACCATTATTCTGTCGATGTTTTTCTTTTTGTTGTTGTTGTCTTTTTCCTTTTAGCCACATGCGTGTACGTGCTTGTTTTTTTGTTAAGATCCAATAATCGTTTTGCTGCGTTTTATTTATAAACATTCAATATTCATTCATCAGTTCTTTCCAGCAAATTCGTCAGTTTGCTAGCATCAAAATCAGTCTGGTACATTTCTTTTGACCGCCATTATACATACTGCATATAATATATAATGTATGTATGTATGTATATTACTATGTCTTTCATTTATTCCCCAGTACCATTATGACAATGTGGCCAGAAAAACTTAGAAAGGATGAGTCTGGTTGGGTGATCTATCCTGAGAACTTAGCACAGGCTCCAGTCAAGGGCGGTACCACGCTGAACAAGTTGCAGACTCTTGTGAAAAAATCAGAATCGTGTACCACGGCAAAGACCGGTTTGAAGAAGATAAAAGAATGCAAGTAGGTGATTTCAATTATGTATTCCAGTTTTAATCGGAGGGTAAAGGGGTGGAGGTGGGGGGAGGGGGGGGGGGGTGTTGGGAGAGGGGAGGGGAGAGATGAACTTATCAACTTTGCAACTTTGCTTTGTTTTGTTTTGTCTTATGTTGGATTTTCTCCTGGAATTATAATTAGAAAACAGTTCTGGTTGTATTAGAATCTCTTTAAAATCACCAGCACTTGAGTGGTTAGCGAGTCCAGGCTTGCAGTGTCAAGCATACGTCGATGACACGTCTTTCAGGTAGGTAATCAAGGGTGAGTCCTTCTGAAAGACACAATATAGCTAGCTAAAAAGAAAACCCCAAAACAAAACCCCCACAAAAAACCCAGCAACAAGCAAGACACTGCTCAGTGGTAACCAGCAATGGCGTGCTTGTAGTACATCTATATGTTTCAGTACGTTTTGGTAGGTATATATCTATGAATCGGTGTATTTATGCACATGTACCGTATCTATGTATTTCATAATATAACATGGTGCACCTTTGTAAAATAAATTTCACCACAGAGACCAATGTTAAATTTAATTCTGATTTATTTATTTTACACAACATAACATGATAAACGGAACAATAATGTAAAAACGGCTTATGAAGTCCGACCCTAAAGCAAAGGTATAGCTTCTGTCTTCATTACTTACTTTACGTTTTGCTTCCCAACCTCTACATTTCAATACCCACCTGCATTAAAAAAATAAATAGCATTTGAAAAAACAATAATGATCAAACCGAAAGAAACAAAACCAGATACACAATGCAATGGATATTTTTAATTTTCAACCTTAAAACAACGAGCAAACGCTATTATTATTATACGAAACAATAGTCAGAGACGAAGAAAAAAAGAAATCAGAAGCCCACTTTTTATTTACACAGGTTATGTGCTGACCACTACAACACCTCTCTTGCTGATGCTGTTTATGACGTCAGCACACCGCCTGATTTGATGACGTCATTTTCCAATCTGGCTCTTGGCTCACTTTTCCGCGCCAAGTTTAAAGGTGGAGATGGAAAGGATCAGTCTGTATTCAGGGTTCGTAATTTACATTTTTTCCCCCTTGTTTGTGACAAGTGGGCGGTTGGACGGCGCCACTGGTAGGTCCTACTTCTTTACTTTCCCTCTGTTTTTTCCTGTCTGTGTCTGTCTTACTTTCTCTTGCACTGAATGGCCGTTATGGTGTCAATGTTCTCCTCTCTACTCAACAACAACAACAACAACAACAACAGCAACAGCAACAGCAACAGCAACAACAACAACAACAACAATAACAACAACAACAACAATAACAACAACAATAACAACAACAACAGCACCATTGCTTGAGCTTCATAGTAGGTTTTTTTTCTTCCTTTGTCTGTTTTTGTTACAAGTACAGTGATATTGATATTAGCTTAAACTGAAATCTGTAAGGACCGCTGGATTTCCATCCGTTTAACCGTGTTTTCGGTTTAGAGAATTCGCCCAAACACAAGGGGGGAAATTAATCGTGGATTTAATTTTCTTTCGATTCACTGCTGTTTTAGGCTCAAACACGTTCGGTTTAAGCGGACTCCACAGTGCATGTTTCAATTTGTTTTAGGTTTTGTCGTTGACACCTTAATTTAATGTTACATTTGATCTTGTTGCAAACAATAATAAGAAGAGTCATAATATTTTATTTATATGATAATAAAAGCTTACAGGTAGTTTTCTTTCACTCTTCAACCTTTCATTTGGTTGAAATCTTGTTTCTCGAAAGCATGGAAATGGATAAGGCGATCTGAAGACAGGTAGACTGAAGCATGCATAAAATTGACGAATAAGAAACAAAGGAGAACAAAATGAAAGAAAGCAGACCTGCTACATCAAAATTGATCGTATCTTAACTTTGTTGTTTCTGTCTTTTTATGTATCTGAGTAGCCTTGTGTACCGCGCGTGTTAATGGGGTTAATCTATCCCTCCAACTGAACCAACTTTGTGTATTACATGTTTATTTGTTATTTAGTTTGAGAGGAAAGTTGTTTGTGGTTATGGGCGCAAAAGCGCTCTCTCTCTCTCTCTCTCTCTCTCTCTCTCTCTCTCTCTCTCTCTCTCTCACCCTCTCTGTCTATCACACTCTCTCTCTAAACACACACGCACATACAATATAATTTATAATACTAGCTGGGCCCCCTTTCGATGAAAGGAATGATCGGTGCATTAACATTGCTTTTGGGAGATTTAGATCTAGAGAGTCTCCATCATTTTGTTGTTGTTCTAGACCACCCCGACTTTTGCGAGGGCGAGAGGTTAAAACTGTAGGACGTCGTTTTCTTTTGGGCATGGTCAGGCGCTATGCTCTAGATCTAGATTCTAATCTAAGACCTGTTGACGTTGTTCCCAGTAGCACGAAAAAGAATTTGACAAAGGAGTTCAGAAAAACCGATGATGGGCATCAAACCAAAGAGAGTAAATAACAAGATGGGCCACTCAGTCAAAAAAGTGTCCGCAGGAAGTTCGCTCTTTGCCTCAGATGGCGCTGCACTCTGTTTTGAAGCTCTCTTTCGTTTTTCCAGAAGAAGAATAGGAATAGCACCTCCTTGCGTGCGCAGATCGACTGCTGTTCATCAGCAATTCGGGTTCGTTCAGTGCGGAGTTTTAGGTTTTTAAAAATTTTAATGACCTCTCGCCTTTCATTCTAAAGTCAAATTAAACGAAGAAAACAATCACCCTTTCCTCCGGAAGATTTTTTTTTGTCAGCGTAACCATTAAAAAAAGCGTTCTTCCGAAATTCATTAAAAAACTTGCTAGTTTCACCAGATTTTTAAAACTCAAGAAGGATAACTCTGTTCGCAAAAGGTGCGCTTTTGCGAAGAGGGCGCCACCGAATTTTGAGGACACTTTTTTAATTGCCTCAAAGAGAGAAGTGGCCCCTCTTGTTA